TGCAACATTCACAATTGCCTCAGTCTTCACCGATAGCCATCTAGGATTTCAAAATGGGAGGGGAGAGATGGGTAATAGTTCGAATGCAGAAAAATTTGTTTTGAAAAGCCATCCTGATGGTACCAGGATTCTAATGACAATGAATTCATCAGTGGTCCGACGGGATAGAAAGATTATTCTAGAAATGTATTCCAATAATTCAACCTTGGTAGAGTTAACTCCAGGCTCATATGAAACATTCTACCTAAAAGCAAAAGGCAAATGCTTGACAAACCAGTATGGGCAGCTAGGGTTTGAAAACTGCAGACAAACACCAAAGCAGCAATTTAGAGCTATTATACAGAGTGGGAGTAGTGATGGGATTGATTTCAATGAATTTTATATTGTGAATCAATCCAATCAGTTTCTTGGGTTTATCAACCAGGATGCTGTTTTTGGAAATAGAGGGAATGCCAAGATATTGAAATTTAAATCGGGAAATCGTGATATCATTCAGATTGCAAATGAGGAATCAAAGGTATTGGATTTGGATTATTCGAGAAATCTATTAATTAAGTATGGCTTCCATGGAAATTGGAACCAGCAAATGAAATTTGTTCGATTGGGAGGTGAATATCAAATTCAGGTAGGCGATAAGTGTGGTCAGGTCAATGGTGATTTGAAAATTAAATTTTTAAAGTGCGATTCGAGCTGGGAGCAAAGATTTAAGATTAAGCCAGTAGCAGGTTTTGATCGAGATGGTGGTAGATCTTCCTTTTATAACGATAGTGAGTCAAGAGAATATGACTATTATTCTAATGAACCCTTTGAGAACGATAGAGATAGAGAATACTCTTCCAGAAATGATTCCAACTCATTTTATATAAGGAGATCCAATTCGAATGAGTATATTGTTGGGTTTGGGTCTGACAGAATTGCCAGACTTGGAGGCAGTAGATCTCAGGCTCAGCCCTTCAGTTTTAGAAGAAACACATACAATATTATAGAACTTTCTGAAGGGAGAGTTTTAGAGTATAATCAAAGTGGAGATTATCTCATGGCTGTTAACTATAGTGGAAACTGGAATCAGCAGATAGAGTTAGTGAATACAGAAGGAGGATTCAGAATACGAGTAAAGGATAAATGCGGAAGGTACGAGAATAGAATGATAAAGTTTGGTAAGTGTGAGAATTCTAGAGATCAAGTCTTTGAAATAGTTGAGAATTCCAGTAATAATTCCAGAAATGGTCGAAATGGAACCTTTAACGTCGATTTCAATTCTAGCATGTCTTCTTGGGCAACCAATATATATGACAACTTTATTGGCCGAAGTTATGACTCTGTATTGCCCATAAGTGTCCCCAGGACTTTTCTTATAAAGAAGCAAGATCAAAATGACTATCTAGGTTTCGATAATTCAAATGATGGAATTTTTGGACCAACGTCAAACTCTGAAAAATTCCAGTTTAGGAATGGAACAGATAACACTATAGATGTTCTCGGGTCTAAATATGTATTGGATTTTGCATACAACCAGAATTTCCTGTGTAAATATGGTTACCATGGACATTGGAACCAACAAATCCATATTCTTTATCAGCCAAGGGGATTTAAAATAAAGGTAGATAGCAAATGTGGGCAAATTGAAGGGCAGAGAATCAAATTCTTTCAGTGCAGTTCGACAAATTTACAATTGTTTGACCTTCCTTCAGCCGATACTGCAGGAGGTAATTCTGATACTAAACCGTCATTCTCGACATTCGTTCCCAACACCTTCTATATTAAATTTCTTGAGACCAATGAATATATTGGGGTTGAAGGTGATTATGCCACTCTTACCTCTGCTTACCGGGCTACCAAATTCAATGCAATTGATTTCAGATCATCAGACAACACACGTATTATTCAAATAGAAGGAACC